CCTTCTCCAGCTCATTTTACAGATGAGGAAACGGAGGCAAATAGGGTTAAGTGACTTGCCCAGAATCACATAGCTAGTGGGTGTCTGAGGCTGGATTTGAATTTAGGTCTTCTTGATTCCAAGGCTGGCATTCTATCCACTGTGCCACCTAGCTGCCTTGCTAGCATTTAAATAGTACTTTAAGGTTTGCAAAGTGCTTTACAAATATTATCTCATTTGATCTTCACACTAAGCCTGGAATGTATGTGCTACTATTATCCTATTTTAAAGTTAAGGAAACTGAGGCAAACAAAGTTTAAATGACTTGCCCAGGATCACACAGCTAGTAAGTGCCTGAGGCTGGATTTGGACTTAGATCTTCCTGATTCCAGGCCTAGCGCTCTACCCACTTTGCCACCAACTTGTCTCTTTATCTTAATATAACGTGTTGCACATAACAGGTACTTACTAGATATTTGTGGAATGAATGACTATTACTCTACCTACTCCTATCCCAGATAATATGGCTCTTACAGACCATTATATAATGTGAGAGCAGTAAAAGAACTATAAAATGTGGCAAATTAGTATAATTGTCGAAGGACCATGATGATAACGATCATCATGGTGGTGACAGTAGTCTACATTTCTATATTTTCAAAGCACTCTGCCACAACAACCCTGTGAGAGAGCTAATAAAAGTATTATGATCCCTAATTTATGGATGAGGAAATTGTGGCTCAGGAGAGATTAATTGCCTTGCCCAACTTTATACATTTCATGAATGCTTATCCGAGGTTTCTTGACCTCAAGTGCAGTGTTCCTTACACTATGCCATTTTATTTCCTAAGGTTTTTTAAAAGCCTTTTCTCCTAATCTTCCTTCCCACATGGCACTCAGTCCATATGAAGGGTCCTTTGAATGCCTGCTGCATAGAGTTACTAAACCTCTGCCTCTGAAGCAAAAGGACAGAGGGCCCGTCCAGCGTTTGCTGGAACAATCTGTCAACTGATCTTGTTCTGCTTCACCCTAGAGGCTTGGCTCTGACACGCTGGTGTTTAGGTCTTATCTTACATTTGGGCCTTGACCTGGTTCTTCCTGATTCTGACTTAACTCCTTGGTAATATATTGATTTCTGGTTGATCTCAGGTTTCTTGAGAAATGATACTGTAAGTTAGTGTACTTTACTAACCCTTGCTGCTTCCTTACCCCCAGTGTCCTCCTTGTTGCTTCACGCTTCTGTATCTTCCTTGGCCGTTAAGGTGACCACTTCTTCTGAATGTGTGTGTGTGTGTTGTGTGTGTGTGTGTGTGTGTGTTGTGTGGTGTGTATGTGTGTGTGTGTGTTGCCTTTCTGGCTTAGGTGAATTTTAACTATATTGGAATCTCTCCCCTGGTCCCAATGCCCTGTGTCTTTTTGCTGCTCCTGGCTCTCATCTTGCCGAGCGGTCATTTTCGTTACTACCTTACACATATGACCCCATTAATTTTCTGTGTGGCAGCATTATGTACTCAGAACTGACCCTCTCTCTCTGACTGTGTTTCTCTCCGCTCCCTATTCCTCTTTAGCTTTGTGCTATTCTTTTTTCTTGCTGTTCTTCCCTTCCCCTATGCCAGTGTCTCTCCTAATCCTGTCTCTGTCCCTTAATTAGAATCACAAGATCATAAATTGAGAGCTGCAAGGGACCTTAGAGGCTGACTCCGATCCCCTTATTCTGCAGATGTGAAACTGGAAACTAAAGAGGTTAATTGACATGCCTAGTTTCATAGGCTAGTAAATGACTGAGCTAATAGATGGCACTGATTGTGTGTGTGTGTGTTTTCACATTCAACAGAATTGAAAGCTTGAGGAGTGTTTGTTTAATAAGAAGGAACATGTCTTTTTTTTTTCTGGCTGATTTAAATATACTTTCCAGTCAGTACATTTTGCCACTAATATGTTGTTACTGAAACATTTTTCTCAGGAGATAAGATAATCCTCTAGTGTAGATTAGGGGGAAAAAGTCAATTTATTATCCAGTTCCAAGTGCTGCACTGTATGAATGGGTCTGTTTTTCCTCTGTTTTCCCATCATCAGTCCCTATATATAAGTCCATTTAGCCATGGACTTTATTGACTTAAAACTGACTTCAAAGAAAATTAAACATTTATAAACTGTTAAGTAATGGAAGCTTGAACCATTACATGAGTAATGGAATGCAATTAAGCATTTAATCAAAATCATATTACATTGAGATAAGTGCTTAATACTGATACATTTTCTAAAGATAAGATCTTCCAGTTTCCAACACTTTTTAGCTGTATGCCCTTGGATAAGTTACCCAGCCTCTCCAAACCTCAATTCCCTATCTGCAAAATGGGGATAATAACACTTCCCTTATCTTCCTCACAGAATTGTAAGGAAAGTGTTAAAGAAATGAATGTTATCTATCCAGCTATCATTTATTAAGTGCCTATTATGTACAATGCACTGTATCAAACCCACTTAGGCTGAGTTAAGTTAAAGGTCTTCTGATTGGGACAAATCACCACTGAAAGACTTTCACTTTTAAGTGAATTTTGCCAATACACTGTTTGTTTCTTGCCTTCATTCGCTATTTTCATTCCCCCTCATCTATAAGTTCAGCTTTTACTTGATGTAGCTTAACTAGCACTTATTAAGGACCTATATAACATGCCTGTCAAGGGCTGGATGGACGATATAAAAATGAGAGATGGAGATCCCAGGCCTAAAGCAGTTTACAATCTCAGCAGGAGATGTAGGCATGGACGCAAAGATGTTTCATACAAAATAGAATATGAGAGGTGAAAAGGAATGAACCTTATAAATTGAGCCAACAGATCTGAGGAGGGAGAGAGCTATTACATCTCTTTGATGGTATTTGTGAGGTAGTGATTGCATGGAATTTTTTGTTGGTAATATGCTGTGGCATGCTCGTGCCCACCAGCTTTTTTCCTTAGAGAGGTACAGAGAACAATAGGAACATGGAGCACTAGAACTTAGGAAGTTTTGAAAGTCAGCTCCTTACTTCAACTGCTTTACATTAGCAAAGTAACTGACTTACCTTTAGTGAAGTAAACTTTGGAAACAATGCTAAATGAAGCATTGACTTTACATTTAAAAAAAATTCTGAATTATACAGAATTACATGTTAAGCTTTCCTCCTTGCCTCCATCTTGCAGAGTTCCTCTTTTCCCTTAAAATGCAGCTCAGGTAATATTTTCTACAGGAAGCCTGTCCTGATTCCCCGTCAGTTCAACTGCTAGTAGCCCCCTTCCAAGCTACCTAGCAGAAAGAGCCTTGGGCCTAGCATCAGAGAAGACCCAGTTTCACTTAACCCCGATCTGCCTCAGTTTCCTCATCTGTAAAATGGGGATAATAATGGCACCAACTTCCCAGGGTTGTTGTGAGGATCAAATGAGACAATAATTGCCTGGTACATAGTAAGTGCTATATAAAAGTTAGCTATTATTATTATTATTGTTATTTGTATTTATTAGCTCTATGCTGTCTATATTATTTTAACATATCCTTGTTCTCTTGTCATCAAAACATAAGGTTGATAAAAGAAGCTATTGTTTCATTATTTGCCCTTGTATCTCTAGAGCTTAGCTCAGTACCTGGCACATATTTGTCACTTAATGAATATTTGTTTGGAGGCAGCTGGCGGCTCAGTGGATAAAGTGCTCATCCTGGAGTCAGAATCAGGAAGACCTGAGTTCAAATCCAGCTTCAGACACTTTCTAGCTGTGTGACCTTAAGCAAGTCACTTAATCTCTGATTGGTAAAGTAGATCCCCTGGAGAAGGAAATGAGAAACCACTCCAGAATCTCTGCCAAGACAGTCCCAAATGAGGTCACGAAGGGTCAGTCATGACTGACATGGCTGAGCGACAAAAAAAGATTTGTTGCTTGCTTAATAGCCTATTGATAGATGTTCATAGTACTTGTAGCTTATTCATTACAATCACAGTGTAATGAGATTATGTTACAGATGCTGACTAAGCTATTTTAACCAGTTAAATTCTTGTGCAACACAATTAAATCCTTATTTAAAAAAAATACTTCAATATAGAACTCACATATTTATAAACTGATTTTGTGTCCACTTAAATTACATTTAAAGCCATAATTATATTGCAATATGTTTTATCGTATTTTGCATATGTGTACATACACTCACATGCACCACTCTGGGTTGTCATTGATTTGTTCATCCCACAGATGAAAGAAACAAACGAAAAGATTATCATGTCTGACTCACTGCTCTCTGGGTGACTTTGAACTTTAACACTTTGGAGACTGTGCTATTGCATAGCCCAAAGCCATGTAGTATATTGTCAAAAAGATGTTGTTGTTTTTTATGGCGAAGGCAGGGTTATTAAAACCATGACACAAATTCTCAAAGGCAATTGGGAAAATTCATAGGACCAAACATTTAAAGATACAAGGAACCTTAATGAACATCAAATCCAACTCCCTCATCTTAAAGATGAGAAAACTGGGGCTGAGAGGAAGAGTGAATAGCCAGTGTCACACAGCTAATGAGAGTCTAAGGCAGGATTAGAACTCCAGTTTTGTTGACTCCAAGCCCAGTACCTTTTCTACTGTGCCTTTTAATAATAACACAAACAGCTAGCATTTATTAATACTTCAAAGTGCACAGAACACTTTACAAATATTATCTCATTTGATCTTCACAACAAGCTGGAGGGAGGGGTACAGGTGCTATTATTGCCATCATTTTACAGATGAGAAAACGGAGGCAGAGGTAGACTAATTAATTTACTGAGGGTTACACAGCTACTAAATGTCTGAGACTAGATTTGAATTCAGGTGTTCCTGATACCAGCTCTACTATATTTACTGTACCACCCAGCTGCAGCCTCTTGGTCAGTTCTGGCTTTAGGACGTTATATAGCCACGGTTTACCTACAAGGGACGTATACTGATGGAGGGACTGTATCCTTTGAATGAGTTTCAGTTGATCAGTCAGTCAGTAAACATTTAATAAGTACTTACTATGTGCCAGGCACTGTGCTACACAAATGAAGGGAAAAAACAGCAGTCCAAGCCCCCAACAATTCACATTCTAGTGAGGGAGACAAGAAGCAATGAAAAACTTAATAAAATGCTTCATCTGTCTGTCTGTCTGTCTATTCTCTGTCTCTGTCTCTGTTTCTAGTTCTCCTCCCTTCCCTCTCTCCTCTCTCTCTCTCTCCCCATCTTTTTTCATCTTTTTCTTTCTTGTGTATCTCTTTATGTTCTACTCCCTAATCAGGTTATGTTCTTTAATCCTTTCATGTCCTCTTTAACTATTCAGAATTCTTCTCTTTCAGCAAGGAAATTAAATCAGGAACAAGATCTGACCCTAGAAATGGTTCTCCAATCAAAAAAAAATTTCTTCCAAATTCTGTCAAATTTCTTCCCCCCAAAGTCACCATTTGAACCATCAGAAGTCTACCCTGTCCAAGTGACTTACACAGTTGGCTTCTCTTTATTTGCCTGAAATCCTCTCTTCTTCCACAACTTTCTCCAACAGAACCTAGAAGCAGAAGCAGATAGTAATATCATCTTTCTGAGAGTATTTCTGCTGAGGTGCTGTTGTGGTAGCTAGGCACATTGGTTAAGGTTGACACTATCTATTTTACTTACTCCTGATGATGTCATCTTTCACAGTTAACCAACTCTTAAAGTAATAGAGAGAGAGAAAGTACCATTGTTATTTCTTTGGTTTAGAAGTTTTAATCGCATAAAGAAATGTAAATAACATTTACTTGCATTTATAAAGAACTTTAAGATTTACAAAATGATAGCTTTTGGTTCGGTCACCTAGCAGTTCAGTGACCACTACATTGAAACTCAGTTTCTCCATTTGGAGAATGAAAAAGTTGGAGGAAATGACGTTTACTATTTCTTTCACCTCTAACATTCTGTTATTCCATGACTCCTGGGTGCCCAGCAGGAAGAATAGAAACAGCAAGTACAGAAATGGAATAGTTGGGAGCCAATAGGAAGGGAAGGTTTTCTAAATTCTGAGAGACAACAAACTTTTCTCTTTTTCTCTAAGTTACTGAAGCTTGTTTTACTCATCTTTAAAATGACAGATTTGGACTAGAAGATACAATTTTAATTTATATAGACTTTTATAGTTCAAAAGGGTGCAGGGACAGAGGTGGACCAAGTACTTACGTAATACCTACTATGTGCCAGGCACTGCTTCTAAGGATTTTTCTGTTGTTTGTTTTTTGTTGTTTGGTTGGACAATGGGGGTTAAGTGACTTGTCCAGGGTCACACAGCTAGTAAGTGATATGTGTCTGAGGCCGGATTTGAACTCAAGTCCTCCTGAATCCAGGGCTGGTGCTCTATCCACTGCACCACCTAGCTGCCCCCTGCTTCTAAGGATTTTACAAATATTATCTTATTTGAGCTCCCTTATAACTCTTTTGCTACTATAAGTAAAGTGCTATTATTATCCCAATTTTACAGGTAAGGAAATGGAAGCAAAAAGAGGTAAAGTGGCTTGCCCAGAGTCATACAGCTAATAAGGGTCTGAGGCCAGATTTGAATTTAGGTCTTTCTGATTTCAGCACTCTATCCTTTCTTTGGCTCAGTAGCATTACAGTAAAGTTGCTGATTGCATTGATATCAGCTCCCTTACCTCCTCCTCCTGCATCATGGTAATCTGGATTCAGGAATGCGCTGGTAAAGGTTTAACAAATGGCTCTCCGGGAAAAAAATGCATTTAGGACACACTTTCAAGTTTAATCTGCATTATTATTTCCTCTATCACCTTCTCAAGTCTAGGCATAAGTGAAAACTCTGATTTGTAGTGCTAATTGATTTCTTTGGTGTAAATTCTCATTGATGAAAATTTAACAATCAGCTCTTTTTAGCCAATTGGGCTGACTTCAGTATAGCTGTGTACTAATATATTTCAGCCCACTCATTTTATAGATGAGAAAACTGAAATCCTGAGATATGTCAATATCGGCATGGAGCAGATTGTCAATTTGAACCCTATTTTCTGACTCTATCTAACTCTAGTACTCTCTGTACCATACCAGACTTCCTCTCTTGTGGCAGTATTTGTTCAATATTTGCATTAAACATTAGCTACCGTTTTCAAACCCCACAGAAATACAAGACATTTATTCATTTATTCAGTTTTGTGTTCTGGAAAAAAAATCCAATACATTTCCATTTGAGGTTGAAGCAGAGAAATGTTGTTTGCTAGGTTATGAAATATTTTGTTTTCCTTAAGAGATAACCATCATATCTGACTGCAAAAGCTATTTGAGAGAAACAGTGATGCTAGCTCAGCAGACATTAAGTGGAATTCAAAATGTGTTCTCTCATTAGTTTCCCAGACCTTGAAAATGGTGTCAGCTTCATTCTGATCATAAAAAAAAGAATTGCATCTTTTTTGGGTAAAAATACAGATTTTAATCTCTTACAGACAATAGTTTTATGTGAACGTGTCAGCGGTGAGCTTATGCTTGCCCCTTTAAGAAAGGAAGAAGGTTTTGTGCTCCATCCTGTCAATCTAACCATTTAATGAAGGAAACTCTGAAAATTCTTAATTATAGAGGTTCTCTAAATATAACTCAGCACAGTAAATATCTATTAAGCATCTACCCAAGGCACTGGATGCTACAATGAAAATAAAGATGAATGAGTCTTGGTTGCTGTTTTCAGGAACTTGCAATCTACTAGGAAGGATAAGACAAGCACACAACTAGTTATTTAAGTCTTTCCCACTGCCCTCTCATGGGCCCTGTCCAATCAGATGCCAAGTCTTTTTGATGGTATCTCTGCAAATCTCTTGTATCGGATTACTCCTTTTGACTTCTTTCCATCACTGCCACACTAGTTCAGTTACCTAGACAACATCATTAGTCTCATAACTGGTCTTTCTGCCTCTAGTATCTCTGTTTCACCGATCCTACCAGACTGATTTCGCTGGCACATATATTGACCTTATTACTGATGCTAAAAGAGACAGGAAGGGTCCCAGAAGCCAACAAAGGAGAGAGAAGATTGGTTAGAAAGTAGAAGGAAATCTACTAGTTTCCCTAGTTTCTCCATATTTCTTGAATTTGAAAACAAGTCTTTATGTTATGCCCCTGACAAGTTGCTTTCACTTCAAGACAGGTATGTGGGGGAATCTTCCCTCGCCCACATTTTATAGGTCTGCCTTTCTAACTCTCCGCTTGTGTGAGTTTTGTGTATTCTTGGATCTGGGTTACTGGGGCTGGTTCGGCTCATGGGAGAGGGAAGATCCTCTGTAGTGGCCATCAGTCAGAATTCATCTACGGAGAAAGGAGTTAAAGGCAGAACAAGTGGGAGTCTGCTGATAAGCAGGCTGCAGATTCCATCATTTAGCCTGGTCCTTCTCTGGTCCTTTGGATTCTTCTCCATAGCACCAATACATGGTGGCTTATACACACTGGGGGAGGAAGTAGCTCCCTCATCATCACAGCAGGACTGACAAAACATTCAAGGTTCCTAGCACGACAGCAAACCCATTTTTGAAATGGCTGGCCATTGGGTTGAGCTTCAGTAGGGAGGAAAATGACCTCAGAGAATGGGGTGATGGTCTGGAAGAGAAGGGTGGAATGAAGTCTTGTAAATCACAACCACAACTGCTAGCTCATGGTCCAGAAGTGTGATTTTGTCTAGCTCCTTAGTTAATTGAAATGAAAATAATTGAGTTTTTCAAAACAGATAAGGGCACATTGACATAGCAAGCTCTTTTAAAAGACCAGTGAACTACTCAATGCAACATACAAGAAAGCAATACATAACTTTTTGTTTGTTTCTAGGCTTGACATTTTAAAAGGGAATTCTTAATTGACTGATTTTATCTTGATAGAAAGATTAAATTTAAATGTCCAGGAAACTATCTAAGGGTCATCTCCTTCAATAGTTCTGGCATCAAGAGCCATTTTCTAGAATATTAGAATCTCATTAGTCCTAGCTCCCACCAAGGCATAATTTGTGATTATTTAGAAGAGGTGAAATGGGCTTTTTTGCTCTTTGAATAAAAAAAAATTCTAAGCCTACTAATAGTACAAATAAGATTGCTAATGGAATGTTTTAATGATCAGAGAAGCAGATTATTCTCAAGTGTTTTCAAGGCAACTCTAGGGAACCCAATATCATTCTGTGTCCAATACTCCTTCACCCATGAGCAGTCAAGAACAAAGCCGAAAAGATAATGAGCACAATGACCACGTACTCATGACCATGGGTGGCCTGGAGGTGGAGACTGACAGCTGGCAACAGGAAGTTGCTGTCCCCACTGGGATTTGGATTCTCCCCACTCAGAGGCTTAGGGCAGGCAGGCAGCCAGTCCACAAGCCTTTGTTAAATGCCTTCTCTGTGCCAGGCACCATGCTAGGCCAAGCCCTGGCCACATTGTCACTGGGAGAGAGAGAGAGAGAAGGGGTGATTTCACTGGTTATCGCTTATTGTGTGTGCACACTCAGTCCTGACTTCGCAGTCAATGACTTAGCAAGCAATGAAAAGGCTTTTTCTTCACCACTTAGTAAGCAGATACGAAACATTGAAAGAATGTGTGCACGTTCTTCTAAGTTGAGAGTTTGGGCCCTCCATTCTGCGTAAGCAGGCACTTCCAGAACCAGGCTCCCCAAAAGCACATGCTTCCAGGCCTGAACCCTCATTGGCCAGTCGCCCATTACACATTTGTTTGAGTCAATGAGCAATTTACAAATCACTTAAAAATCTATTCCCCAAAGTGGGTCCCTTAACCATCTCTGCTAACACAAAGTTAAAATTGCTTTTATGCATCTGAGAGTAATAAGACTACATTTCTTTTTCAAAGCCTAATTTATATTCAATTAAATTATCTGCTTTTGTGACAGTTTTCTCTTTTAGTGTTATTTTTTTATTTGTAATTTACTTTGAATGGTATTATGAGGTTTTCCCAGACTTTTCTTCTATTATAATATTTGCTTTCTTCTTAAATTTGAAGTAAGATGTGATACCTTGGAAGGAACATTGGATTAACAGTGAGAAAACTGAGGGAATTGAAAGGATTAGGCCAGAGTAGTTAATTGTAGGAATTGAGTGAACTCCCTCTGGTGACAGTTCTGGACCTGGCTCACTTCCTTTTCTGTTCACTTAAAGTTCTAGTCCAAATTCTGTCTTGTTAAAAAGTTTATTCGGTTGTGGGAATTGGGAGAAAACCTTATTGCATTATTTGAACCTGACCCTGTGTGGCTGGGAAACTGGACACCCTCTACCTGCTGTTTAGAGACCCTTAACGAAGGACCTAGGTCATGCTGACCAGAAACCCAATCAAATCCAAAGACTGATGTAACCCATATGTCTTATCTGAAAACTGGCCTTGTATTGATTAATCAATAATTGTGTCCACATTCCTTTGATTTTTACAGACATTTGTACGTGTGTGGGGGAAGAAGTGGGACACCTCCTCTTCTGATTTCAGTGAACCGTACCTGTTCCCTCTCACCTTCCCAACTTGAAAACACCCTAATCTTTCATCCAATTAGAAATCAGATTACTTAATGTTTATACTGTTTCTTTTTAATTAATTGATTTTATTTGATGAAT